AACCTCTTATTTTGGTGCTTTTCCTATACTTGAAGTTTACCTCTCTCAATCCCCAATGAGAAAGTCCCTTCCTCAATGAATTAAAGAAGCCAAGTGTTTTGGATTACAAAGTTGTGATGTTTTCCCAAAACTAGGCTGCTGGATATCAAGAATGAATGATTGATTCCACCAATTAAACAGTGTTCTTGGATCTCTCAAAGATAATATGAAAGTGTTTCTCAATGATAGCACAATGTAGCAATCTCTGAAAAATTGTCCATGACTTCGTATTTGTAGTTGGGACGAATAGGTTTCATGGGTCGCGTAAAACTCTTTAAATGGCGATCTATGGTTTTGCCAGATACAACTGTCTCTCGAGCTAGTAGCTAGCGACTGCTGAGCAGTCGTCAGTATTTTCATCATAACGTTCTCTTTCGATCTTCGATTGAGGTGATTCAAAATGCATTGGAAAACTAATTCAAAAGGCTACAAACCTTCTAGGCATAACTTTGTCCAAATTCTACTATTTTTTATGTGAAAAATGCGTTGCAAGTTTCGCCTGAGCATTTGTATTGTATTCCAATGATCATTTGTGATCTTCTTGGATATCTTGGACTCCTTCAAGGACTATACTACCAACTACAAAAGATTTTTTGACTTTTACAACTCTTTTACATTAATTTATTTGTCTAAAGAATTGTTAATACACTAGAAATTAAACCTAACAAGTTGAATTAACACTTGTAGAAGTTTCATCTTAATATAAAAAGATCAAAATCACATGATTGGTTCCATTCATCTACAATCCAAATGGGCAAGCAACGAGGAAATTTTGCTTAGTTGTTTTTGAATTTATTTTTTTATTTTGATTTTATGATAATATTTGAGACGTTTCTATTCTTTTTCAATAGTTGATTATTTACTCGTAGCATGAGGTTTGGATGTTTTCCTTAGGAATTTATCAATTTATATTGTGTTTTGAGTTTAAGTTTAATCTTGTGATACATTAATACTGTGTTATTGAATCACGATATTTTTGTAACTCATTATCTAATGAGACTCGATATTGAACAATCATGGTAGAAAGAACTGTGTAATTAATTAATTATGAATTGATGAGGTCAATAGATTTTGACTCCACTCACCTCTATGTAGACATGCTCGTGCACACTTGGAGCAATTGCTAGTAGCACATGACCTTCTTCGGTGGTGGGGGAGGTGATTGAGAGAACTTCGACGGTCAATAGAACGAGTATATTTGGATGGGGATAGTTGGAAGACGTAAGCTACATTACTGTATTGGCACCGAGGGTTTTCAAGATAATAGAAACGAGAGAGAGCAATCTTACCTTAAGTATGTAAATTGCATTATTTTCAAATGATACTAAGTATAAACTTTTATAATAGAAGATGAGAAATAACTACAGTTGGGTAAAGAGACAAATGACCTCATCCTGATGGTTGAGGTGCTCTTCCTAGTTATCACCCCCGTCAATCAAAGGCTAAGTAACATTTAATATCTTTGAAAAGTAGCCATTATAGAGCTTGGGTCTGACCTTTGATTTATAGACCGATAATTTGACATTTTAGGTGCCCACCAAAAAGATGTCACATAAATCAATCGTAGGATGATCTCGTAAAAAATTATATTGGAAGAGTGAAGTAAGGTGTTTCTATCAACAAGAGGGGATCCCTATTGCAGCAGGTCTGACACCCGTACATGACACCTCAGCGGAAGTGTTGCATCATAAAATTTTTCACTCACTGCCCTTGACTGGCCATTATTTTCACCACAGAATTTCATTATCTTTTATATGGGTAATGTGGCAATATAATTCAGTAAACAACACTTTATTTTCCTCAACAATAGACTGAAAAAATTCCACCCTCTAGATTCGAGAAGATGTATAGCCATCGCAGAGTCTACTTCCACCCATGCACATCTCTTATTTCAAACTTTACCAATCTTGAAACCTTTTACCCTTAATTCTGCTTCAAGTTTAGTGTAATAACCATAAGATTCAAAGAATTCAAAATCAGGTTTAACTCTTTAAGCTGGGATATCGACAGTGTTGGGGGCTTTTATAAAAACTGTGAAACAGCTTGTTGCTCCAGTTTCCTGCTTGTGGAAATGATGAACCACGTGTTTTGCTACCTTTGTCATCTTCCAAATAGAATCCTACTTTGCTTGTTTGGTTAATATATGAGGCACAAAGTAGTCTTGACCACCAAGTTGAAGAAAAAGGTAGTCGTAGACGGGGACTATAATTTGACTCAGAAGCATATTATTGTGTCAATGTTTCTCCATACATTATTTACCCATATAAAGCTAGTTATGCACTGGAGTCTGGATGTGCAAATATGCCTTCAAGTTATAGATAAATTTGTTGTTGCGTCCAATAGTGTATAAATAGTTTCATACTTTCGCTTTGATCCACCCGACTATTGACAATAGAAATCGAATAAATAAATTCCTCTCACCTGGCCAGAGTTTTCGCCTCTAAACTCACTAATTTTGATGTTAAAACTAGAACAAAAGGAGAAATGACTATTTTTAGAATTTGCACGCCTCTGAACTCACTAATTTTGATGTTAAAACTAGAACAAAAGGAGAAATGACTATTTTTAGAATTTGCACGCTTCTCTTCTCTTAGGCGGGAGTATTTATAAATTTTTCTCTTGGTCTTGGGGTTATTTAGTCATTTTGAATAAGTGACAGGTGGCGTCTCTTTATGGACTAACTTGTAACTAATTTTATTAGAGTATCTCATTTTATCGATTGACTTACGTGTCTCAATAACAATTTTTAGCTAGTCTGAATGGGAAAAAGGATACCCCATCTTAAGCAAGTACTTTTTGTTCTTGTTCACCCATGTGTTACTTAAGCTTTGCAATTGGAGGAAAATGCTCGTTCTTGATTTAATCAATATGATTGTTAGAACCATCTCCACTCTAAACCGAATTTCATCATTTTGTTGGATTAAATGGTTGGGAATGAATATCAAATTAACAAAAATCGGATGGACATATACTGGATTGACACCTACCGTACTGGATTTACACATATCATATAAGCAACATATCGAATTTAAATTTACCGTATATGTAACTTACCGTATATACAGCTTACCATATTTGCACACACCGGTCTTGCACATATTGTATATGCATTGAAGATTAAATTGCAATAAATTGAACAAATTAATCTAGTTGGGCAAAATAAAGCAGATTAAATTTTAATAAAACAGAACAAGTAAACTAATAAGTCAAAAGCAAGAAAATTTTTTTTAACCGAGACTTGTGTGAACACATTTTCCTTAAAACAGACTCGCCTCCTCACCGTAGGTGCTTGAGGATTAAATCTAACGTCTGTCTTCTGGGATACAACAGATGAATAGTAGGATTTGAACACATCAAATACTACTCTATAGAATTGAACTTATTTTTGGACAATATCATCGATTGCGTGACTATGAAGTATGCAAAAACTGTGTTATGTAAATATGTGTAGAACTGTATCCTGTATAATTTTTCTCTTGTTTTTCTTCTTGTGTAGAATTATTAGAAATCGGGTTGCTTATATAAGCTCCACACCATGAATATCATTAACTTGTATATAATAAAAATGAATATTGTAGTTTCAACAGTTTTGAAATTCAAACGGTGAGTTAGAGGGAAAAAAATTAGCAGAACGCAAGCTCTTCTAAGGGGCTAATTTTCAAGCCCAAAGCTTATTTCGGTTCGATTTGCCCTTTTGGCGAGCATATAGAGAGAGCCTTTATGCTACATATGATTATACAATTCCAAAGTGCAATTCTATTTAAGGTAATATTTGTTCTCATAATTTTTCTATGTGAGACAATCTTAAATGGTTTCCCTCCAACAACATAAACTCCTTTTAATTGACACACGTTGAGCTCCAATATCTTATTCACCGGAACATCATTTTTGGCAAGTAAATACATGGTTTCGATGTTCTCACGGAGGAAAACACAAACTTCCAAAATAATCAATCGGGTGTCACTCAAATTTTGTGCCAAAGTTAGCCACTCAACCCATTTTTTTTCAATACATTTCACATGTATTAATTAATGGGGAGTGCAAAATGTGCCTCTACGACCCCATTGTCCACATCTTTGCCTGCGCAGGCCGTCCAAGCCACCACCCCTGCACCTAACGACGCCGTTTTCAATACAATCAATAGCTGCATTTGAAAAGAATCTTGAATGTGGTTCCATGACAAACTTGCGTGAATATTCATTGTAATATATGCTTTACTTAAATAGACAACCCATTGGAAAAAAGTGAGAATGGAAGATGCTTTGAACGTACGTAGTAAAAATTACTCTCACAGTCAACACGAAAGGAAAATAATACAAGCAATTACGACTTCTCTTCTAATTACCAAAAAGAATATTAGAAGAAGAAAAAAAGTAAAACCTATTTAATTTGTGGGTTCTATGCATTTTAATAAATTTATTGGTAGAGTGCAATTAAATTCCCACCTTTATTGTAGATGATGGGCTTATAAGAGATTGAGTTACTTCACTTAATAAGTTAATATTTTAGTGAAATCTTAGTTCTTTAAAACAAGCGGAATCAGAGATCTCGAACTACAACCGAACACAGGTGTTGAGTCTTGAATTAGATCGTAATGGCCGTTAAAAAAAAACAAAAAAATACCCAAAAATAAAAAATAAAAAATTGTGGTTGATTCTCATGCACAACTAGGTTAACCTTCCTTTTATTTTTATTTATTTTTGGATGCTTACGATTATTTATTATGCTTTGTTGTCTCTAGAAGGGTACTGCCAAGCAATCAAGAAGAAGACTTTAGGTTGAAAAAAAGAAAGAAAAAGGAGAGAATAATTTTAGTATTGTAAGAATAAGAACCTCCTTTTGCGTGTGTGAATAGTTGAGCGACATACCCTTTGTAAAATTGACGCTGAAACATTTCTTTTTCTTATTCCAAGTGGCTTGCTCCCATTGTCATTTTCCTTGCTTTAGCCCTTTATATATACAGAAGAGTGAATACATAATCCTCACATTCGTCAGATTAATTAATTTTTTGAACAAAAAAACCTTCATACACATTTCTTCTTTCTAATATTTTTGAGCTCTTTAATCAATTGCGTGGAAATGCCTCCGAAAAATCCACACCACGAAGGAAACAACAATATAGAGCTTGACCAGGTTCGTTATGATCTTCATCTTCTTCTTTGAATGCTCTAATTTTTTCCCTTTTCTATCGCAAATTCATTCATTAACGCCAACTCCAAATATGTTGTTAACAAGACTTAATTTTTTCCTTGTTTGCTTCCATCCATGATGATGATGAATTAGATTAAATGAGATATATAGATTGTACTACATCATAGTAATTTTCTTGTGTACAGAGCGAAAAAGAGATTAAAATTCAACCAGAAGATCTCAACATTATTTGGGGCGAAGACAATCGCTACTGGAACATAAAGCCGTGAGTTAGAGACGTGAAATATTTATTTATTTAATTCATATGCAAGGAGTTCTATAGAACTAGAAATTATCTATTGAATTTTAATGCAGTGGTAAGGCAGAATTATTGCAAGTTTGTTGGCTTGAGGTGACTGGTTCCGTTCGTTGCATCGACCCGAAGAAATCGTACAGAGTCAGTTTCAATGTATCGTTTATGACGGACGCATTTGGTTGGGGGGTTCATCCTCTCTATCTTATGTTAAAGGCTGGAAAAGATGGAAAAGTTGAATGGAAAAAAATTGAAATTAAAGAGGCAAACGAGAGTGTGAACATCACTGGAGATTCAAAGGCACAAACAGATTCAACTGGTGACTCAAGGCTTTATTTTGGTTTGTATGAAGTTTGGAGTGGCAAATGGAAAGGGGGTTTGGAAATTCATCACGTAATCGTCAAAGAAGTCCAATAAAAACATTTATACACAAATTGGTCTATACGTTTGTCATAGAATAAGATGATACTCTATATTCATAAATAAATTTCTTCCATATATTCAAGAAGAATTGTTGCAATATTGTCTATTGATGTAATCTTCAATTTTTCTTGTTTTTTAGTAATAAAAAAGCTGTGTTGTAATTTCCTAGGTTTCCTCTTTTCTTTCCTTCTTAATTGGATTTTTTTTTCTTCTTTTTTTTCTTTAATAATTTGAGCTGCAATCTTATTTCTTAAAACAATTTCATCATGTAGCCGATAGAGGAATTTGAGCTTTGACATTATAGTAAGGCGTAAGATTCTATCTTAAGAAATCAATATAATTAAGTGGAGTGGTCCAAATTCATACGGTGGATATTATTTCAGTACTATTTAACTTATGTGTAATTATTCGTTAATACATCCAAGAGGGATTGAACTTACACGAAGTATAGAGTCTCTCTCTTGGTGGTACAAAGCTTGGAGTCGAACTTTGATTTTGCACTAAATGCCCATATGGTACTATTTTAGTTGATATGGGAGGAATTATTTTATGCAAGTGGAATAATGCCGCACTCAGAGCTCATGTTTGGTCCTAGTCAAGTTCATCATGATTCTCTCTCTCATTTTTAGTCAAGATTTAAATTATTTAAGTGCTTTTGTCATCGAAATTGGACAAAATCGTAACTCGTTTAAAACGTAAAGTTGCTACAAAAGACAAATTTATTTCAACTTGCAGCCTAAATTCCAAATGGAATTCATTTCCAAATCATAGATTATGTGGATAAGTTATAGTAAGGCTATATTTGATTGCATCCCAATTTCATGGAAAATGGAAATCAAATTCCATATTTCTTTCTATAATTTATATAAGAGTAGTTGAGCACAGAGTGAAAAGATGAGACTTGATGAGAGGTATGTGAAGTTGCGTGTTGCAGTAAATTTATATCAAGCAAAGACAAACGACGTCGTTTTTTGCTCCCCCACTTTAAAAAAAAAAAAAAAATGCTACAGTGGGTAGAAAAACCAATTTCCCACCATATATGGTGGGAATTGGTTGCAAACTTCAAGACAACCAAGAATTTGAATTCCATGGAAAAAATGTATCAACACCTAAAGTTGGAAATTCCAATTCCAATTCCATCTTCCAATTTCATTTCCACCTTATCAAACACACCTTTTTTTTTTTTTGCAATGGAAACAAATTCAAAGAATTATTATAAAAAAATATTTCAATTTAAATGACAAATTTCATTTAAAACAAAGTTAAACGAATATCAAAAAATATATGATTTTCTTGAAATTTTTGTTTTTTATTTTTTTTTGTATGTGTTGGCAAATGGAAACAAATTTCATCCCCAATACCAGTAAAATATATCCCTTTAATTGACAATTTTTATGTAAAACAAAGCAAACGGAGATAAAAAAAATACTTTTATTTCAATATTTTCCACATGAAAAATTATCCAATCAAACACAATAATCTACAATTCTCAGAAAAACAATTTTTAGGCAATTTAATTCCTTGAAAATTGTTTTCAATTCTATTTTTACAATGAAAAGGCAAATTTCATCCCCAATACCAGTAAAATATATCCCTTTAATTGACAATTTTTATGTAAAACAAAGCAAACGGAGATAAAAAAAAATACTTTTATTTCAATATTTTCCACATTAAAAATTATCCAATCAAACACAATAATCTACAATTCTCAGAAAAACAATTTTTAGGCAATTTAATTTCTTGAAAATTGTTTTCAATTCTATTTTTACAATGAAACGAACACTAAGAGTCTAGTACGCGACTCTTTTACTCTTATATCATATTAAACTTTACTAAACTACGTCATTCAAAAGTTCAATGGTAATATGTAATTTTGATCTGTCTAGATATTTCGAAAACATGAGGCGACATTCACATGGAAGACTGCAAGCATAATTATTATAAAAAAAAAAAAATGATAAATGTGTTGTCCCAATAATCCACAAATCAGAACCCTATTTTTTTTTCCCTAATAAAAGAAAAAACAAAAGAGACGAAAGTGGAGAACACCTATGGATTTTATCACCAAAGTGACAAAAGGAATATAATAACTTTTTGAATTTTGAATTTGACTCTAACTAAAAACAAAAGCAGAGAATAAGATACCTTTTCAAATTGGTTAGCATCTTAGTTATGCAGCTTAACTAATTATTATTATGAACATAAGAATGTGGACTAATATATGTTATTTAGCTTAATATGCACGGATAATAGAATACTGCCTCCCTTTCCCTATTTTTTCTCAAGTCTTTCTTCACACGACTGATCGTACGAAATTCCCCAAGTGTACTGTATCATGAACAAGTAGTATAATGATGAATACGATAACATTTCCACCAGAACTATGCGTACAATCTAGTATCAATTAATGTTAACATTAATAGAATAACCAAATTGGTTTGAAGAATTTATACTAATTAACTAATTAAACTAACTATTCTATTGAGCAAATCGAAAGCTATTCTAAAAGTATGTGAGATGATTACTAAGATTTCGAATACATCTCACTAATCCATTTTAATACAATTCAATGTCATGACAATAGATAGGCATTCATGTTGATCAATATTTCTAAGTTACTTAATAATCTCTCGAGTAGAATTAAATATATTCTCTCATGTGACTTTATATCTCTATGAAAGATGTGAACATGAAAACTTACATTAAAAATACTACATCTATTGTAACCATGTAAAGCATAAGGGTATATTTTTATCTCCTTTTGGACTTTACAACGGTTGTATAAGTGTTATCTAACCTCTTCTCTCTCTAGATAATAATAAAATTCATACAACAATTCAATTTGTTGTTAATTAATTGAAAAACATTAATTTTTATAGCAATCATCCAAGAATATACATATATTGGACGTCAAAATATTTAATTTAGATTCAAAACATCATAACAATAGCTCATCCACGTCTTAGTAATTGGAAAATTAGTTTAGCAGTGCAAAATCACAAGATTTCATGTTTAATTGATAGAACATCACTCAGATTATTAATAAATTGAGAAGTAGGAGATGAATCTTAAAATTCTGAATCAATGGTTTCTTGATTAATCTTCAATATCATATTTTCTTCTTTGCCCAAGAATCAAAATTAGATCTTTAGTTGATTGAATTTTTGCAATTGCCTCTTAATTCTCTAAAAAAAATGATGAATTGGCCCCAATTTTCCTGTAATAATTCGTGAAATCTCTAGTACGGATTGTTTTCAATGGATATCCATGTTCTTGATGTATAGGTGCAATTTTAAAAAAAATAAAAGAAAAAAAAGAAAAAAAAAGTGGGATTTCAAAAAAGTTCCAATCGAATAAGGAAATTTGCTTTCGCGTTGCGTGTTGTTATATCTTTATCAAGATGTCAGTACTTTTATAATGTCATTCTCTTCCAATATTAGATTGAGATAGTTCGATATGCATTGAAAAATCAACCCAAAAGGCTACAATTATTCTTAAGATAGCAATTCTCAATTCAAATGTTTACTATGTTAAAAATGGGTCTCAACTTTTGACTGAGAATATGAAGTGGTAATGATACTTTGATTCTATTTTAATGCTTCACTCCTTATACTTCTAATTGAACCCAATTAATCCCCTATGATTGCCAATCAATATTTTGTGGTCTGAATTAACTAATGGATATTTCCAATTAGGTTCTCGAACTCCGAGTTTAATCATCTTCGCCTGTTTTTACTTATTTGTTCCAATTTCATTTTCAATTATCGGGTTTCACCATAACAAATGAAATATACAAGAGATTATATCATAATTAATCAATAAGAAATCCTAAATGTCCGTATTTATAGGCCTAGATAAGTGTATAAATTATGCTTATCAACAGCTCTCTAAAATATTTTTCACATAATGCTACTTTAATGTTATTTTCAATCTACAAATCTAAGTTGCTAGTTTATCACAAGCTACCCTAATTAAAAAAATTGGAAATTCAATTCAATTCCCTAATTTGCACATAAAATCTTTATTTAAAGAAAATATAATAGGAACAAAGATGAATAATTCAAGAATTGCTCATATGAAGGTGCAAGTAATTAAATTCACATATAAATTAGGATTGAGCTCCCCAACTTTTCATGTATTATGGTAATGAGTCTTCAACTATCAAAGTGAGATTTTGGGTCCTCAACTTACTAGAATTTATAAATTTGGATTCCACGTGACGAAAATCTATTTAAGCACTAGACTTTCAATTTAATTGGAGATAAATGTTAACTGGTTTGAAGATTTTACTCTTTAAATTCATGTCATGAAAGTCCTGTGTGATTTTAACATCAACATTAAATGTTTTGTTCACTTGGAGACTTAGTTTAACCAATTTATATAGGTTGGAATGCAAAAAATTCATTTTTGAAGGTTGAGGATCCAGATTCACACTACGAGAAAGCTTGGAGAGTCTAACCTTAATTTACCCAAAATTCAATGCTCACTTTCATGTGAAATAATGCACATGTTTGGTTTGGATAAGAATTATTGATAAAATTTTATGTAAAGTGTAGATGAAAATTGTGGATCTCATTAAATTAGACTTAAAATTAATTGTTGATCTGAGCTTAAATTTTTATCTAATTTTTTTAGCTGAACCAAGCGTGAGCTATACAATTAAGGCGTTTGACAAAGTTCTTGATAAAAGCTCTAATATATTTTGATAAATTGATGAAAAGTGTGGTTGAAAAATTGTAAATATCATGAAGTGTATGATAAAAATTGAAGTTTGACCAATTGTTATCAAACAAGTACTAATCTTATTATAAAGTTTTGAGGATTCAGTTTTACCCCTGGATTTTTAAAGAGCAATCATTGAAGCATAGATTTTTTGATTAGTGAAGTCGAGTATTTTAGTAAATGGGTGTTCACTTATTTTCTGTTTATCAAATTTATAAATTATTTATAAATATGAATAGTAAAAGAAATAATAGTGAGTTCCTAAATGTGTGAGGACAATAATGAGTTGTAGTTGTGATTGTATTGTTGAAATTAATGTTGAACTTTAGCTAAATTTAGAAACCAATATATAAAAACGCTTTAATGTATAGACAAACTTATGGTAGGATTAGTACTACACAACATTTCAAGGTTCAGAATATATGCTTCAGATGGATCATTTA